TACCAGAGATACTTAAACAATCTTTCCCAGCCTCCAGTGGGACCAAGACAGCATCCGTCCATTGCAAACATATTTCTCACATCTATTAGTCTTCCAGTGTAACATTGTTTTTAAATGTCACATGGTCTTGCAGCATCCTAATAGCATCTCCTGGGGAAAATACTTTCCCTGACACCGTATCAGGGATCCTTAGGAACAGAAACAGAAAATATTGGGCTGGTGATCCACCTCCATCTGCAGATTGCCAGCAGCTGCAAGTTGTCAAATAGATATATTGATTTAATTAGTCTAGCTAAAACTATTGCTTTTTCAGTTGAAGCATGATACAAGTTAGTGGTGTTTTTTAGGTACCATGCTGCACAGTTCTCAGCTAGCACCTGTAACTGTAGTCAGAAAAAAATTTTCAAGTTGTAGCTTTCAGGGAAGTACTGTATACTATATACTTGCACTGTGCAATATTTGTACCAACCTCAAATACTGGTTTTCACAAAACCCTGTCTACTTATCCTTGCTCTTCACGTTAAGCAAGTAGTTTTACTGTGTATGTTTGAGAGGAATAGCAAGATAGGAATTGAGAAAGGGGATAACTGTGTATATATGAACCAGATGTTTTTTCTGATCTCCATAACAAGGGGGCTGTACTTCCAACATAGTCAGCTCTCTGAAGCTTTAACGGAGGCTCTCAGGCTCTCCCTAGTGCTTTTAGTTTGATTCCTGGTTTGTAAGAAACAAGCAGGACTTTGTGATCATAAGTTCAGATTCCATGTGGGATGCTTTCTGTTTTTTTGTGGAGCCAGAGTGGTACTTTCTTTTCATTTTATTATTTGCATAGTATAAATCAGAGAACCCTGTTAGGTATTTCCAGCATCAAATCCATCAGTTCTGTCTGAGCTATAGCTTTGAGAAAGATGTCCAGTATTGATTTAATATTTCCAATGATGGAAGCTTTATCACATTCCTTGGTAAGCTGTTTCAGTGGTTAATCATCCTGAGTCTCTGCTGCCTTCTTATTAAATTAAGCACACTAAGAATTGCAACTCTGTATCTCTTTTTGTCTCCAAGGTGTATTTATTTTCTAGAAATTATTTTTGTAGAGGTTTTCCAAACCATTTTCCAAGTTTCTAACATACTTTATAGATCCATTTTTGCAGTAATCATCAAACTAATTCTGAAGATGTTATATTTTTCTGTTTATCCATATCAACTATTCAGTTGTTCATGCATTCAGAGATCATATTTGCCCTTTCTGTTGTAGCATCTCATTAGTAACTCTGGTTTGGTTAGCTACCATCATCTAAATTCTTTTGATTTTTGCTGTCTTCCACTGTGTATTCCTTTATTTTATCATCACTGGCTTTGTTGTTCCTGTTGTTCCTGAATATATGATCTGGCATTTGGCTATGTTTTAGTGCAGATTGTTAGACTAAGCACAACCCACTTAATGATCCAGACTGTTGTGTATAACTCCTCTATGTCCCTTGTTTACCGCTTCCCTATCATTACAGCAGGAAGTACTTACACTTTTCCGTAGAGTAACTGAAAAAATGGGCCCAGCATATCTATTTGACTTGTCTATAATCTCTTTCATCACCAGTCTAATTACAGACCACATGTCCTTCAAGGCACCTGAATTAGAATAAATCCATTAGCAAAGCATTATTCAATTTTTGATTAGCATAATTGTGCTTGGAAATCTGCGTAGCCTGAAAGTCCACAATCCAGGTTCTGAAGACAGCCCATAATGGACATACCGCAAAACTTACCTTTGTAAGACAAAAACTGTACCTGACATAGGTAGGGCCGTTGGATTTACTTCATGCTACTTTTTCTTTTTTTTTAAGTAAGTTTGTGATGTGATAGGCCACAAAGCACTACTTTTTGTTCTGGACATCAGTCCAACACATCATCATCATACATTTTAATATTTGAATACTAAGGAGTGTGATAGTAGTAATGAAGAAAAACTATGCTACCTGAAGAGTGCCTGTGTGTTCACTCCAGTTGGAATCCATGGGAACTGTCACCATCTTTTACAAAGGTTGCACAAAAAGATAAATTTGGAGTTTTTTCCCCTCAACTAGTTTAATTTATTCTAAATTTAAATATTATTTTTGTAGGCATGTGCTGCAATATGATTTCTCAAGTTGATAGTGATTTGTTTGGACTTATAAACCAAGCCAATAAAACAGTAGTTGTTTTATTACACATGGGTATTTTTATGCACTGTATACTGTATGAACAATTATAAAGGTGATTATACAAAGACCACATATAAAAATCCAATTTAGGGGTCTTCTCATTATGTTCTCAGGATTTCTAGCTCCAGAAGGGTTGTTTAACTGAGGAGCGTCATTGTGGTTGTATGTACGTACTGCTTCCAGACCAGAGCTGTACTGTGCTATACCCAGGTTGATAAACCCACACCGAACCAGATTTCTAGAGTTTAGACTTTGGATTAAAGTGGAAGTTGTGCTTACTTGTATCTTTATACTGGTACTGAATTTAAATATTAACACTGGAATTAGTAGGAGTGTTACTGGGGCAGATCACAGGTTCATCCAGAAATGAGATCTTTTTCAGTGGGCAGTAATGGATGCATAAGAGTAAGACAAGTATTGAGTGATGTTATGGCCAGTGTAGAGACTTCTTGAACAAGATGTTATCTACATTTTTTGTTTTTAATAAGCCCTTGACAAACATTGCTTCCCCTCAATTTCTGAAGACTTTTTGAACTTAAGTATACTTTTAATATGAAAAATACTTTCCTGTAGTAAGTAACAAACTGTAGTATGCATTGTGTGACAAATACCTTCCTTTTCTTTGATACAAACCAGGTTATAATTTCATAGCATGAGCTATGAGAGTAAATGTTTGTTTCCTCTTCAGCTTTTCCTAAACATTCGTGATTTTATGTATCTCAATGATACCACTCAGTTTTCTGTCTTTCATGCTTTCTCCCATTGCAGGTGTTTTCTTGCCACATATGGAAACTGTTTTGTACCTCTGACAATTATTCTTATTCTTTCTCAATACCTTTCCTGTTTCTGCTTGAATTGAGGGAGAGGGGTTGTGCAAGGATAGAATCCACCGCACCTTTCTGGAATATCATGCTATGTTGTGTTCTTCCTAGTAATTCAAAATACTCTGCGGACATTTTCTACTCTCTGCTGAACATTGAACTGGTATTCCTATAAAACTGTCCACAGTGGCTCGAACTCTTTACTGAGTGGTGGTAGTCACATTGCAGCATAATGTTTTATGTATATATATTTGGAATACTTCTTTTTATGTGCATTATTTTGCCCTTATCAAAATTGAATTTACCTTGCCATTTGTCATCCAGTCCCTCAATATTACAAGATTCTCCTGTTAGCTATTACAGGTTGTGTTGTGTGGTCAGTATATATTGCCAGATTTTAAGACTAGTATGAAACTTGCAAGCAAGTCCAAGTGTAGAAAGCTGAAGTAGTGAATGCAAATCTGTGTGTTTGCAAACATAAAGAAAACAGAAATAAGTACAAAGTTCACTATCTACTCTGGAGAGTATGTTAAAATTATACATTCCTTTTTCAGAATAACTGAGTGACATTTAAATGACATTTCTTTGTCCTACAGAAATCAAAGGAAAATACCAGAGTAATTTGTAAGCGCTGCAAGACAATGCTGGGAGAAGCAGTATCATCAGGTATGGGATGTACAAACCAAACTAGACTTCACTGCATCAGCCATTGAGTACTGGAGGCTAAAAGCTCTGGAGGAAAGTAGTTTATCAGTAAGGTGCAGGGCTGATTCCTGTGTGTTTGTGTCATTCCCTTATGGAACAGATGAGGTTATTGCTTCCACTGTTAGACCTTGAAAGTGACTTATGACTGGGATTTCCCACATCCTTGTTTCTGTGGTGTATTTGGTTAATTCCAAAGCTTTGGAAGATAATGCATGATTCCAGTTCACTAGGAATCCCAGTAAAAAAGGAGTCCTGAGAAATTATAGGTTGTTTATTTTGCTGTCAGTCCTACAGACTAATGGAAAGGTTAATTCAGAACTTGATCAACACAGAACTAGAATCATAGAATTGTTTAGGTTGGAGAAGACCTTTAAGATCATCAAGTCCAACTAGAAGCTAAAGATACGATTGCAAACAGCCTTTTCATGGAAAGGAAGCCTTGTCAAAGAAACAGGTTATCTCTCATCATCATCCAATGATGAGATGATGAGATTATTGGTTTAAAAGCTGTCATTATATTGAATCAGCAGGGTTTGCCTGAAGTAGTGTAAAGAGGAGTCTCTGGTGGTTTTTAAAATGCAGTTATTAACAGGAGAGAAGCAATGATAAGACTGTTACTAGCAGGGTTCATTCTTTAATTCTGCCTCTGCTCTGCTGTATCAATCAGTGTGAGCCTGGCTCAGTTCAGAGATCTGGAGAATATAAAAACTTCTCAGAAAATGCAAAGTCTGTTTAAGAAATAAGTCATGAGGAGATGCAAGGCAGAAGGTCTTCTGTTACAGATGGTTCCAATTGTCCTGTACAGGGATCTGAACAGTGCAGGCTTTAATAAAACCAAATTTAAGGTAAGATGTTTGAAAAGCCCACAAAGCAGGTTGTGACTTTGGGAAAGCAGTGGTTGGAAAAGAGCTTCACAGATCATCATGAGTAATGGATGCCTTAATCTAAGCCTTCAGACAGTTGTAGCAACCAGTAATTGATGGGATCAGTGAGTATGGGAAAAGGCAAATACGGTGTAGATGTGCAGGGATTTGGTCTGGACTGTGTGTGTGGCTGAAGTTAGATAGCACACCCATTGTTTTGACCATGTTTCTTCAGTACTGTAGGAAATTTATGTAGAGTTCAAAGAACTGACAAAAAAACTAACCAGAGATGTATGGTATAAATCTAGACAGAACAACCTCTGTGAAAAGAGACGAGAGAGCAGACTTGACTGTCATGCTTTGGTTTTTCCTCATGAGCAGATATCAGTGCCTTGAAGATAAAGCTGGATTAGAGTGGTGTAGCTGTGGAGGCCAGATTTGGCTTTGAAATTCCCCTGTCGGCTATTCCTTCCCCCAACTCTATCCCCGTATACTGGTATGATTTTTTCTTGGGAAATCCCACCTTCTGTTTCTCTGCAAGCAAACATCTCATTAATTCCCAGTGCCCTTGCAGCAGTAGCACCAATTCCTTACCCAGGAACACCTTGGGAGCTAGAGTGACTGAGCTGGCTTCTTTTCCTCCTGTCTCCCAGGACTAGGCACAGCGTGGTGCAGACTAAAATTAAACTTAGAGGTAAAATATTATCTCCTAACAGTGAGGATAATTAAAAGAGTGTTCCCCTTACCTGGAGAAGGGGTGGGATTACCAAGCCTTTGGAATCTTTAAAACAGATTAAGTATCTTCCTGAAATGCTTGCTTTCATCCAGTTTTAACAGTGTGTGTGGACAGAGATCAGATGAGACCATCCCTTCCACCCTTAAAATTTATGGAACTCATGAATCTTTACTGTTGTTGACATACTAAGGTTTAGCGGAATGAATTTATTACTCTATATGCTTAACCTGTTCTGCAGGCCCTCTGGTTAAGCTGTGTTTGTAGCATAGACCCAGAGCTTCAATGTGATCATCTTTGACCTGACTTTATTGATGGGGATTAAATTCTGTACTCAAACACTTCCATTTAGTGTTAAAGGCTGTCTTAGTGGGGCTTTTGGGGAACAGTTACATTGAAACTTGGAATATATGCAGTATTAATGTTAAGTCAGTGTGATTTTTGGAAAGAAGTTCTATTCTGCTCTTTGAGCAAAGAAGAAAATTATTCCCCTGTGTGTGCTGTTATTAAAACTGTCCCTTGTGATTCACTGCGGCATTACTGAGCAGCAGAGGGTACTAAAATACTTATGTAAGCTGTGCTGATCTCAGTGCTTTAGGAAAGTTCTTTCAATTCATCTTTCAGGTTTGGCTTGAGCTCTTGCTTGCTTTGTTTCAAGATGATTGTTCCCAGCGTTAAACAAGGATCAATATGAATGACAAATTGCTGATCATGTAATTAGCTCAGAGCAGTTTTCTTCTGGCAATGTATGTTTTCTGTTACTGTTGCTTCTCCTCCCACAAACCAAAGCAGAATTTGGCCATCCGCTGTACCTCTTAATTGAGTGCTGAACAAAAGTTTAATTACTATAGTGATATGGTGACTTACAGTCTACTCTTAACAAGTTGGTTGTGCTGTTGTACTTGAAAAATGTTTTTGTCATTTTAGATACCATTAAATATTATGTCACTGAGGTGATTATTCAACCATCTGAGGCAAGTTTCAGCCCAACATCAAGGTAACAAATAAAGATTAAAAAAAACAGATAATTTGCTCAGGTTTCTGTTTTAGAGAGGATGCTAGAAATGCACTAACATTTTAGTTTCTTGAATAATTACATGTAATAACAAAGTGCTGTTAAATTTTATGTAATCATCACAGAATTAAGCATTGCAAAGGTAATGTAGTCTGAATTCACTCATTTACAATTTTGTTTGCTTGTCTTTTTGTGTGTTTGTGTGTGACGCAGGAGAGAGATTGCGTTTAATTTGTCGCAGTGTCTCACTACTCGGGTGATAAGCCAAAATACAGTACTTATTTATTTTGAACTATTTAAGTTTGCGTAATGTCTGGTGACTAATTATGGAAATGGAAGGTTACATTACGTAAGGTTAAATTAAGTAAAGCTTGAAATGTTTACTTGGAAGTGAGATTTTTGAATTTTCAAGTAATCCAGTTTGAAGTTAAGACTAAGATGAAACAGAACTTGATCTGGCTATCTTGTATCATGTACTATGCATTAGCCACAGTTCTTTCTTTTTGTGAATTATATTTGAAATATGTGCATCATTCTGAACTTTGTGTTCATATGTGTAAAATACAATAGGGAAAAGCTTTATTCAGCATTTGACATTTGGTGTTGGTCAAAACAAAGGATGTGGAACAATTTAGACCACTGATCTATTAAAAAATTCCTGTTGCAGGAAATAGAAAGTCCTCTGGTTTTTAGGGAGAGAAGGCTAAAGAAGCCCCATCTCTCAATAAAAAGTGATTGTAGGATTTAGTGGAATTGACAGTATGGAGATCCTCATATACTTGTACTGCATCAATATGAATGACTTTGCCCATGTAGTTGTTATGAAAACATATAATATGTGATTAATTCTTAAACAGGTCTCAATTTGTACAGAGCATGGTTGCTCAGTGTCTTGTGGAATTGTCCTCTGCTAAAAGCACGTTTAGATTCACCGTAAAAGGGGATAATGGAAAAATCTATATTCTGGTAAGTTTTTGGGGTTTTTTT